TTTTTCAGAATGACAAATCAAACGCGTCTTTAGAAATCTTAATATAGATACTCAAAACTAAAAACTGGAAATAAACTCAAAACTCGAAATTAAAAATTGAAAAAAACCAAATGGGCCCTAAATTTTTGACATGTTTAAAAGTTAGTATTGCTATTCGGTCCCACTAGAATTGAACCCTGATCTACATGGCTACCCAATCAATATCCTACGTGGCAAAATTTTAATTTGCTGCCAAGTGAAAGCAATTGTTTAATTTGAGTTGAAATTTTTTTTTTAATTTTTTTATTAAAATCCGCCTAAGCGATAAAAGGTACTGATTCATAGATATTGGAAGGTAAAAGTACAAAGGAGCACATAAAATCTGACCTCGTATGGATTATCGAGAAATTATGAATTATATTAGGGGATTGCAATGTTATAATAGGGGGAATGAACAATAAGGAAGCAAGAATTAGTCATTGCCAAGGGTTTGCCAAATGTATGTTGATTCATAATTATCTTTATCTTTTAAAATAACAGTCATTGCCCACTTCTTTAACATATATGTTGACATATTGTCATATGATATTTTATTATTGGATTGTTTTAAACACAATAATAATTTCCATCCACCTACACATTTGTCAAGGAGGATGTCAAAAATCCTCTAACAAAATAGAACAATTCTTAAAATAATACACAACGAAGAAATAATATTTACACTCAAATCAATTTCTTAGCACTTAATACATGTTTGGTAAGATATCAAATCAAATTCATATTCCAAATATTAAAGTTTTTTGGAAAAAAAAAAGTGGCTCAAATCATTGGAAATCGAAGAAAATGGAAATTATGATAAGGATGGCAATGGAATGGGATGGGATGGGATGGAATGGGGTGGGGTGGGGTGGGCGCCCCGTACCATCCCCTTTACCCGTTTAAGGAGGGCAGGGGCATTGCCCCATTTACTACTTCTTTTTTTTTATATATATAACTCATTTTATTGATTTCATTTATTAAGATGAGACAATAATAATTTTTAAATTTTTTATTTATTTTTAAAAGTTAAATTATTCAAATATATTTGATAATTTAAGGTTTTTATTGTTTGTCATATTTTTTTAGATAATTTAAGTTATTATTTTCTATTAGAACTAACGAAATTTCTTGAAATTTTCCATTTAGAGTATTGAATTCAAAAAAAAAAAAATTTAAATGGAAATGGCAATTCCATTTAAAATATTGAATTCTAAAAAAAATTAAACGGGGTGGGGCGGGGTACCCGTTACCCGTGCCCGCCCTGAAGCGAAGTTTCTCGCCCTGTCCCCAACCCAAATGCCCGATTAAGCTGTAGTCCCTGCCCCCTTTAGGGCTGGACCTCGTGGATATTGGATTTATTGATTTGTTTTTACCTGTTTACGAATAAATAGTGTAATACTGGAGGCTTTTAATTTTTCTTTTTGAGATGACAACCGAATGCATTGATTGACTTTGAGTTAAGGTACTTAGATTTTTTAATGCATCACTTCTTACATTTGAGTACATGGTCTAGTTGGTCTAAATAGTATACGCATTCATCTCAAATCAAGTGAAATCACGATTAAAATATTTTGTAATGTGGATAAAATAATACTAAATAACATTCAAAAATATCAAGTCCAAGATTATTAAATTCAATGTACGAAACATACTTGATGTTGATGTCGCGTTCACTATTGATCTTAATTCAATTTTCTTTACCAAATACACCTAAGAATTTCTCCCTACATGGCCTACTATTATGGGGGATTCAAATGTCCAACTTGTCTTTTATCTTGATCACACATAAAATATGATGAAAGACAAATACTATATTTTTGACAGGAAATTTAAGGAAATGGAATTCACATTTCTACATTTACGATGACATATCAGTTAAAGTCACTTAATTGTCACATAAATTCATGATAATCATGAGTATAGATAAATTGCATGTTCTGAAAAAATTATGTGTTATTTATCTTCATGATGAGGTTATATACTTGTAGGAGGATGGGGTATAGATTAAAAAACAAATGTATACATAAACAAGTCTTTAGTGTACATGTATATACGTCATAATTGAGTGACTAAGCCACCTCGATTTTTGCCAGGCTTCTTAAAATAATGCACTTGCTAGTAATCCATTGTAATTGAACACGTATCGTGTTGATTATCGTGGTAAAATTTCTTCGTAGGCCAAACATAATTTCACATCAAGAATACTTGGGCTTATAAACAAACTTGTTGAACAATGAATAAGGAACATATGGAGTGTTATCGTGTAAAATTGGTTAAGATATTGAGTTGTAAACCAAAACTTTCCTTGTTCATGAATTCATTAGTTTTTATGTATATGCTTCACATACGTATGGATTTTATCAATATATGTGTTAATTCTATCTACCTAATTACGAAATTAAATTATATTGTTAAAAGTAATGAAAATAGTGGGATCACTATTTACATCTACAGAATTTTTAAATATATCCACTTAAAAAAAAGATTTATTGTATTTCTAATTTTATGCAAATTTACTTAAATATATGTATATGAAATTAAGTAAAAATACATCACTCTAAATTCATCCACTATTATTTATTTTTAATAAATTCTTTTGAAAAAAATTGTTGGGGTTTTCTATTTTCTGTTCTCTAGGGATGGGACGGTGGGGGGCCCTCAAGGTTGGGGTTCAACTCTTTTTTTTTTTTGGGTAAATGGAGAGCAATTGGTGTCAATTCATAGGAGCAGGTAAAGCGTCCTTGAGTCAACAAAGGAAAAATGGAGAGCAATTTGTGTGAGTTCATAGGAGCAGGTAAAGCATCCTTGAGTGGTGGTTAACAATTTGTTTATCTATATTATTATTATTATTATTATTTATTTCTTATCATCATATCTAACTACACATGAAGTAGGGAGATTTCTGGTTAATGTTCACAAGCCTTTTTTGAGCCGACTCCCCTCAGCCGTTTGAAAGTCAATAGGGTCTAAAAAAGAGGGAGATTTTCGCTTACTGTTCACAAGCCGTTTTTGAGCCAACTCCCCTCAGCCATTCCATTCAGCCGATTGAAAGTCAATTGGGTCTAAAAAAATTACTCTCTCTCTTTTGTGGTTCCAGAACATTCATTTCGTTGTTTAGAGAGAAAAAATCAAGGGTTTTCCTTCCCACAGTAGCCTCTGCTGTCGCATCTTCACCGGCCCTTAAGAAATCGGCTCTCTTCCCCAACCGTCGGCACCCCACTACCTTCTAATCGCGCTCAGTCGTCTCCATTCTCTGCTTTACCTAGCGGGAAAAGATTTAAGGTTAGGGTTTTTACGATTTTTTTATTTTAAAAATTTAGGAATTTCCTGGTGTTTTTGTTGTTGTGCAAGTATTGAATGATTTTGAATTTTGAGCTGTTGGTTGGACTTAGGCGGCGGAGGCATCGTCTTCATCAACGAATGATTTACCGGCAGTGAATGATCTGGTAAGTGAGGCTGTGGCGAAGGAATTAGCGAGGGATGAGGTTCGATTCGTTGATCTGACTGACGGTGGTGGTGCGAAGAAGTCGGATGTGGAGAAATCGCCAGAGGCGACGGTGGAAGGTGCGCCTCTGAATTTTCCGATAACTATATTTGTGATAGTCTCTTTGCACTTGCTTTGACTTGATATAGTCGCTGATATTTTCTTTGTTTTTAGCCAATTTTTAATTTTATTTATCATTTTTTAATTTTTTTGGTCGTAGATGTAGGTGTTTCTGTAACTGACACGGAGAAAGCAAAATTGAATGAGTCAACAGCGAATCGAGGAAAGAAGGGGCAACTGAAATCGCAAACTGGGGATGCATGGGGGAAACTTCTTTCTCGGTCCTCACAGGTAGATTTACACTTTTCACTTAGTCTCATCACTTATATATTGATAAAACTTTGTGTTTTTGTGGTACCAAGCTATTACAATAACTATAGCAAACTGATATCTATCCGGATAAATATGGGAACGGCCTCACTGATTATTTTTGCTGCCACTTCGTTTGAGTGATATGATGTAATGGGCTAAAATCCTTGGATTTACATACATAACAATATAGATTTGTAGGTCAACTTATGAAAAGTGATTGGATTTTGAGTACAGCAGATTTAATTTTCCTGAACGATTAGATAGGATTATATCTTATTCAATTTTTTTTTCCTTTCATTTGTTGCATCTTTTCCAAGTGAATGATATTGAATCTTGAGTAGAGCATTGACGAAGAAATGATGACAGTGAAAAGGTTTAGTGTTTAATATGGCTAAATCTTCCGGTGGGATTAGTCGAGGTGCGTGCAAGTTGGCCCGGATATCCACGGTTATAAAAAAAAAAAAGGCTAAATCTTGTATGAAGGCCCTTTGTTCCATGAGAGAAGAGAATTTGGTCTCTATCAGAGCGTGCATTATTTAACCATCTATTAAAACATTTTGAATGTTTTGACTTCAAAGGAAAAGGAAACCTGGAGATAAAAGAATAAAAATCACATATGTTACTAGACGTATAAAAGAAAATGGATATTGAAGCTTCGTGTTGCAGGTCTTGGGTTACAAGATGTTGCTGTTGTAAACTTGCTACTTTACCCTGCAGGGGGTTATTGCACATCAACTTTAGGAGGCTAGGGCACTTGTGACTCTTGTTCTATTTTATATCTCTGATTTTTACTTTTAGTTTTAAAGGTTGGGACGTGTTTGAAATAGTCCAAGAAAGCTTAAAACATTGCGGACTATCTAAAAGAAATCCCCAATTCAAGGTATAACTATCGATTAATGCATGTCGATAAATGTGGTTACAAAACTATAAGATTTTTTTTTTGACAGAACGTTGGTGTTTATTGCATCTGACGCCTGTTTTGAGATCAGTGATTAGCTTGCTTTTTGGTGTTTTTATGGAGTAATTTTTTCTGGGTTTATATTTACATTACTGAGCTCACATTTTTACATTTTTTATAAAAAAAAATTGCTGGTGGGTTCTTTAGTATATCAGCTTTTTAAAGGTTATTTATTGAAATTCATAATCTTATTTGGAGTTCAAATTTTAGATGTGTTTTTTTAAGTCTATTTATGAGTAGAGATTCAATATAGTTTCACTTCGTAAATTACGATATGTTCAAATCAGTTTGTTATAGTAAATTGAGATTTATTTACTGAGATAAGCATTTTTTTTAATTGCGAACGTGTTAGATCGTTTTCGCAAAATTTGTGACTAAGAAAGAAAATGTCGAGCGGGGGAACACAGAATAGTTTAAGAATAGTTAATGGTTTTTTTTTTACAGATTTACGTCCCAGTGGGTAGAAAATGATAAAAGTTGATGAACGAAGTTGTTACAATGACTCACCCTTTGCTACTAGTTGGCGTGGTGAATCTGACTTGGAAGGCCAAGAAGCCTGCTCAAAAGTGGTGGATTATTCAGATCCATTCTCAACAAAATAGCATGCTTGCAGTAAAAGTACTTCTGGACAAAAGAAAATGTCACATTAGCTGAACTAAACCAACCACTATGGTATCTATCATGTGACAATTGCAATAAATGTGCAAGTGCAGGTGTCAATGAAGCTTATTTCTGTAGATTTTGAAAGCACAGTTACGCTACACCAACTCCAAGGTAAGATTATAATCATGTCACAAATACATCATCTATATGAATAAATGCATTATTTATTATGTAATGATCATCAAATACACCCAAAAACACTAACAATGATTCCACTTCCATTCTATTAGAGCAAGAGTAGTCGTTCAATTACAAGACTCCACAGACTCAATCACAGCATCAATTACTGGAAATCCAGCTGAAACATTCCTCAAATGCCCAGCAACAGAACTCATGAAACAAAGCTCTGAGGTACCTATCTCAAAATTACATTTTACTACCTACATTTCCCCCAGTAAATGTACTACTAACTACTTTTAATAAACGTCCAAATAGGAACATATGGAGAGTAGCTTTAAAATTCAAACAACTACTA